CAAATTGGCTTCACCATTCTAAATGTTCATATACTTGGGTTAGATGTAAATTATATGTTATTTAGGGACATATAAACATGTTAACTTATATATATGTGAATATATATAGGGACAACAAAACATATATAATAAACTATAATATGTATAGTTTATGGGTCATTGACACTATTTTACCGTTTTGATAAAATACGAATAATTATATAAAAGTATAATTATTTTTACACTACGTAAATACTATGGAAAGGTGATATTTACACTTACAAGGATTTTCATTACACTATATGTAAACTAGTTAAAACAGTTATGTGAGACACAGTCTTCACCGTACCTACCATAATACACACTAAAGTCCTTAATTATAACCACAATCTCGGTAAGAGAGCGTGACACTTGTGTATAGATCAATACGGGACTGAAAATCCTGCACCTAATCTGCTAGCTACAACTAGATCGGTAGGTCTGGGGTGACAAATGTCTAAAATTACGACACCTGAAGAACGTCGTAACAGGCAAACTTCGGTTTTAGCATGGTTGTAATATACTCACATAGGGAATCAGCAATACATTTAGTTTATGGGGTAACATGTGTTCAAATGGTTTTATAAAAGAATAAAACTACGTAATATTATTTTAAGTATAGAAATACTTATACATTTTTGTTCTTAGGGTTTTTAAGACTACAACTCATTTTTAAGAAAATATTCGATTTTTTGAGAACAAACACCATCATTTTACAAGGAAAGAGTTATAGATTTTTCACATACAAAACTCTTATGAACTCACCAACTTAATTGTTGATAGTTTTCAAAACTACTTGTATTCTTAGGAAATCGTTAAACAGGTAACCACAAGGCTTTTGAGGATGGGACGTTACAACATCATATTATTCATTTTTGTCATCATAATTTAATTGGTTTGAAACATACAATACATGGTAACAATGTAACATTTTCAATTATAATTATGATGGTTGTGTTTGCTTTGATCACTATTAAAGAGAAAACATACCTCTCCGGAGATACTAGGTCAGAATCGAAGGTGACAGTCGGCAATGGAGAGGTGGCAGTCGGCAGTCGGTGGAGTCGCCTTTGGAGGTTAATTGGCATTGGGAGTCGACTTTGGAGGTCAATCAGCGGTGGAGAGCAGTGGCGTTAACGGTGATGTCCTAAATCGTTGTCGGAGAGAGCCATTGGAGAGGTTACAGATTATACTTCATCTGGGATGAGGAAGGTGAACAAAAGGGGCAACCCTTTAGCGGCGACATAGAGGTTATTAGCAGCGACAAAGAGGCTATTAATGGTGACATTTTGGATGGAACTCAACACGCCCTTTCTATAGAATATGGACTGTTGGATTGAGTGAAGATTTAGTCTGATGTGGGTCAACGGATCGACACCAAAGGGTTGTCTCTATTGCTTTTCACGGGAACAAACCCTATCTGTTGGATCATGTTCCAAACCAAGGGCTAGGATTGAATGTGGCGCGTCTATGACGGATCTCTGGTCCATACCTTTTAGCGACGACAATGACGTTTTAGCGGCGACACCAAGCGTGGCTTGTCTGATGTCGTCGCAAAAAGCGATGTCCCTTATACTCTGTATTCTTGTTGAGAATCTTCGTCTACCTCTAGCAAACATATATTAATGACGTATTAAAAATATAGTAAATCTGTATTTAAAATAATGTAAATATCTATTTATTTAAAATATGTAAATCTATTTTTAAAATTTGTATTTCGTTTATATAGAGATCTTGTAAATATGTATTAAAATTAAAGAAACGATATCGGCTTTCCAAGGCATTGGCGATCCGTAGGAACACATTCCTACTCAAACGAAATCTTCTTTTAAACTCCTTTGACCTATAGACACAATTATCCGCAAAGTAATCGCGATATAGATGTTCGTGTCCTTTCTTGCTATTTCTATTTAACATTGCACGTTTTGTTAGTAGAGAGGTTGGTCCTGGTTGTAGTAGCTCGTTGGTGCAATATTGATACATCATAGTGATGAACATATCGTCATTATCATCGTTGGACGAGTCGAAAGGATCCATAATTTTTTTTGAAAAGTTTTGAAATTTGTATAGAATATAGAGAAAGAGAAGAGTTGTGTGAATTAAATTAAGGGTAGATAAGATGTATTTATAGGTAAAAAATTAATTAATTTTTTTATTAATATTCACTTACAACAGTAAAAAGAACGGTCCAAAAGTTCTACCCAATCAAATTACTCATTTTATCCCGTCTTCTTCACCACAAGAATCGTCTTCACACCCTCTTAACGAGCGAGAGGGTGGTGTTCCTTGCATCTTAATGGTGTTGTAGCTGCCACCTTAGCAACAACGGGAACAAATGTCCCCATATCGGGTGATCTAAGTCAAAGGAATCTCAAAATGCCAAATAAAGCTCCACCAAAGATACACTAGGGATGAGAATTTGGCCCGAAAACTCGAATCGAACCGAACCAAATTAGACCCGAATAAGCAATTCGATTCGGTTTTCGGGTATCTATATAAGGCTTATTCGGTTTTCGGGTTATTCGGTCCTGGTTACCCGAATAAGGGCTTATTCGGTTCAAAAGGACCGAACCGAATATGAAAAGTCACATTTTTTTCCTAACCCAACAAAACCCACGTAACACACCAAAAAAATCAACGAAATCAAATTTGATCATCCGTATTACACCAAATCGACAGTAGCGTATTCCACCAAATCTACGACATTACTATTTGATCGTATAAGGTTTTTCTCATCCTTGCGACATTACTCTTTGATCGACAGTTACAGCTGCTGCCCTTGCGACTTGCGATGACCTGGACTCATTGATCGATCATCACTAGTTCAAAGTTCAAACTTCAAAGTCCATTCATGATAAGAAAAAAAAAAGTCTGCCCTTGCGTCTGGAAAAAATAATCGTCTCCTTATCCTTGTTTTCTAGTTTCTACTGTGATGAAATTTTGAAAGACGATGAGGTCGCGAAAGCTTTAGATGAAGCGATAAAGAACGGAAATGGAAAGGGAAAACAACCAATTAATATTCCCGAATAGTTAATTCGTGTTTGAAAAATGTTATTTTGGATATGGATAAAAACTTAAGATTCATATTTTAATTGAATGTTTAATGTTTAACTTATATACTTATAGATAGATTTTTTGGTGTTTTGGATGTTTAATTTTTAGTGTTTAATTTGTTTCTTTAAAAGATTTGTTATGAAATCATAAGCTACAAAAGTCATACAAAATATAATATTTATAATCGCTTTGTAAATGTTATTTAGGTTAATCGGGTTATTCGGCTCCTTAATCATCTTGTACATATTATTTGGGTTATTCGAGCCGGAACCGAACCGAACCGAACCAAGTAATACCCGAACCGAACCGAACCCGTATTGTTTATTTGGTTCGGTTTTCGATTCATACAATTACACTTATTCGGTTTGCGGTATATTCAGGTTCGGATCGGTTCGGTTAGGTTCCGACCCAAATAACTTCCCTAAGATACACCATTCAACAAACCAAAACCAAACGGGAACTTAACAAGAACGACCAATAACATCAAATCCAACCGAATAACACACATATTGAAGAGCAGTAAATCATATGGTCAGTTCTGAAAAAAAAAAAAAAACAATAGAGTTACTGAATTGAAAATTTAAATAAAAATTCAATGGGTTATCCATTCATAATAAGGATAATCAATTTAGCTTTTAGGAAGGAGGAAGATTCGAGCAAATAAGGACAAAAAATGACTTTTTTGAAGATGATGTCAAAATAAAATACACGGAATGAACACTGGCAGTTGATAATTGGCAACCGCCACTTGCTTGTTGTTGCTGCTGTAAATTTGAATTAAACGCGTGCTTTTTATCAATGCTCTGGTCCCACTCCACCTTTTGGCCGGTCCAATCTCTCTTCAACGCATACATAAATTGCTTTTTATTAAAGTTTATATATTAACAGAATATGAGTTTACAAATTCAATTTGCTTACTAATAATAACATTATATATATAATTTAGAGATTAGCGAAACGTTACAAACATATAAAATAAATAAACTATATGCACAACACGCATTGTACACTATATGTCTTGATCAACTAGGTTTTGAGATAGAGACATGACACTATGATTATTTAATGTCAAGACTTGTTTATGAAATAGAGACATAACGAACCTATCATTTGTTGACATTCAATTCTTGTACTTATTTTTTAAAAAGAAAGCTTTATACTTGTAATGTGTATTTGGTTATTTTAGTGGAGTAGGAAGTTACCTACTATATTAATTTTTGCCAAAACAATGTTGTATTTTACAATTAAATGCTAAATGTATAAATTCGAAAATATAATTTGTAGCACTAGTTACAAGTACCAATTCATTGATTTAATTGAATCAATAAAAAGGGAACCAGAATAATCATATAAACTCTAGAACTCCTAAGATCATCGATAATATGTCTTTTTTCAAATGGATAAGTTTTTTCAAATGAAAAATGAGAGCTTTTTTAATTCAAAGTTTTTTAGCAAGCTTGTTAACTAACAAGCTCTAGAACTTTTTCATTTATTGTATGAGACCCATAGATTTTTAACTAGTTAGAAATATACAACATTTATAAAAACTACTAAAAAACAAAATAAATTAGTTTTTTATCGTGAAAGATACAACCAGCTTTTCGTGAAAAATAATTAAATATGTATTTTAACCCACAACATTATCAATGTACATGATACATACTTTAGTCCAAATGTCTTTTGGTAATCACAAATAAGAGATACACATAGAACAAAAATGTTTTTTAACATGGTTATTGTTTTTCTTTTGAATTCATGTGCAATATCATCTATACAAGCAATGTTTTGTTAATAGGTTTATTATGAACATTTATCAAAGGATTTAACTGGAATTTGATAAATAAAAATCGATGTATATTTACAATTGAAATGTGATACACATCTAAGCATTCCGAGAAAAATTAAAGAGAAAAAACACTAAATCTTATCTAAAAGCTCCATAAAGGCAAGTCAACACAAAATTCAATGTTATCATCTATAGAGTTTCCATACCCCACCGTCTGAGGTGGCGGTAGCATCAATCCCTCCGCCATGCTGACAAGAAACGCCGGCATCCCAAAGATCACTTCTTCATCCATATAAACCACCATTTCCTCCACCTCCTTCGTTTCCACCATCTCCACCACCACATCATCTCTCGGTTTAAAAGCCTCCGCCGCCTCAGCCGCCGCCTTCTTTATATCCTTCACATTGCTAGACTCCGGTAACGACAGCCTCCACACCGAGTCAGCAAAGTTCAAACACGCCGATCGTCCTCTCATGGCCAAAACCGCCACATCATGCGCCCTAGCTGCCATTTCAGCGGTGGCATACGTCCCTAGCCACAACCTCGATTTCTTGTTAGGCTCTCTCACCTCGCAAATCCACTTACCGGAGTTCCTCCTCCTTATTCCCCGGTAAACCGGGTGTCGCGTCTCCTTAAACTTCTTCCTTCCTGCTCTCTTCTTTGGGTTTTCCGAAGCCAGCATCACTTCCACTTCTCCATATCCAACACCACCGATGGTTGTGGTGCTACTGCTGCTGCAATCAGAAGCCGAGGAGGACTCAACGGAAGAGTTTTCCGATGACAGTTGATCAAGAAATGGGGTGACGATATCCATGCGTAGCTTTTTTTGGTAGTTGCAAGTTATGAGTGAAGTTAAGGTTTGACTGTTTGATAGTTTGAGATTTAAGTGGTGGATAAGAAAAAGGTGAAGATGTATATATACATATTTGTGTGTGAACAACTTGCAACTCGTAAGTGTGGGTGGTGGGGGGTGGCAGAGATGGGGAGGGGCCAGCTGCGGTCTACGGAGGAGGAAGCTTAGACGAAGGAGTTAAGGGGTGGAGTTATTTTGTCTGACACGCGTGGGTCTCGTGTGGGTGGATGATATTTTATATTTTGACTCTTTCTATTAAAATTTATTAGCTGGATATTACCATATATGGCCAAAATAATTAATAGTTTGATTATGTTTTTTGTATATTTTAAATTATGTACTTTATACTATTAGACATATGTTTGTTGTGCTATTTTAAGTTTGGATTTACCTTAAAAATCTAATTATATTCTACAATGATTCACGATATTTGTGTAAGAGTATTTAATGTCGGAGATTTTTTAATGAAAAGGTTTATATCTTTACAAAGATTTTTTTTTTCAATTATATGTTTATGGATCGTTTTATAAGTTGTTAAATTGTAGTTGATTAAAAACATATGAGATACACATAATCATTGAAAAAGCTAATAAAAAAACTTTTTAATTAAGGGATTTTCTAATATGTACCTAAAAGTACATATAAAAAATATTAATTATGAAAAATACTACCATAATTAAATATGAACTGCATTAATTATGGAAATTATTAATGAAATTTACATTTAATTATGATAATATTTCTTATAATTAATGTATTTAATATTTAATTATGATTAATTAATATTTCTTATATATACCTTAGAGCACATATTAAAAAATCCCTTTAATTAATAAACATTGAATAAAACTTTTATTTGATAAAACTCATTTTATTACTTTTCCAAATTTCAAGAGATTTAACTTTAAAAAAAAAAAAGTCTATTAAAAGCTCTTATTGCAAATGCTTTTAAAGCAATATTTATAAATAATTTATAGTCATGATTATTTAACTATTTAGATAATTATAATTTAGCAACTATGTTTTACAATTTGTGGTTAGTTACCAATAGTCGATACATCAAGTATTACAAACAGATAATTATCCTCTAATATCGTCAAGCAACGAATTGGTGGCAATATGATATGTCGTATGAAGCCCTCAAATTATTATTAGTCGGATTCTTGTTCACTAATTTGTCTTTCATATCTACCTATCTTAATAAAAGACTCATTTTTTTACACATGTCTCCTCCACAATCATTTTTAGCAAAAAAATGATTTTGCCATTATATCCTTCTACTTGCCATTATGACATTTAAGATGTTTATTCTCAAGAACACGAGATATTGATTTAAATTTAAAATACCTGAATCTCACAAGAAATTTCAAATACTATGATTATAGAGGAAGTTAGGGTTTTGAATCTTTTTAAACTCAATTGTTCATATTTTCTTTCTCCCCGTGTTGGTGTTTGTCTACATTCGCTCAGAAATTCAAAGATAAAAATGCATGTGCTAACTAAAGCCATTCTTTTGTTCTCGGAAGAGATCGACATGTGAAAATCTCAGTTTTTCAGCACCTGTTTTGGTTCAGATATGTCTTCGATGAATTGCTTCAATATCTACACACCAAGTGTTCAATGAATTGCTTTAGCTATTCTGCACAACAAGTGTTTGTGGTTTTACCGACATGACGGTAATACTCTATGATTTATCCGAAAATACACCCAATTCATTGTAGATTAAGGAAATGTAAACTAGTAATTGTAAATTTATATTACTCAAATAGAAGTGTTTACCTAAGGGTTAAGGGTATAATTGTAAATTGATTACTCCGGCGAGCTCAATCATTGTAGAGACGGAAATGTTAAGGAATATGGAAAAAATGAAGTCGTTGTATAGCTTTTCAAAGATTTGATGATTTCAATTAGTTGTTGGTTCGGAACATTATGATTTTGATCAAGTATGCTGGATTTGAGAATCTTTGTATCTCATTCATATTTGTTGATATTAATGAGAAATTCATGAAACTCTACTTGTCAATATGTTTAATTTATAATAGTGTTTTTTTTATGCATCAAGAATTTTATAATGGTAATCTTTAACACTGTGAAATAAGTCATGACAAAATGGGGTGTACGGCTCAAGTAAACATCACGAGTGGATTGCCCAAATAGGAGATGCAAAGGTATATGAGTTTTTTTGAATCTTTATTTTTCTTATTTTTCTCTGAATTTATCTATTTTAAATGTTCTAAAAGATATTTCCATATTTTTTTAATAAAAAAATTGCATCATGTTTTTATGCATAGTTATACTTGAGTCACATTGCAATTATTTTTTGTTTAGATTATTTCCAATATTTAAGCGCAGAATTAATGTTGAACTTGCAATTCTAGGGAGAAACCAGGTCTACGAGTATTTGCAGGATTCATAATGGGTTTTCATCCAAGATCATAGGAAATTGTGAGATATTATATGATATTTATAAATCACGATTAATTTGAAGTTATGTTGGAAAATTACTAATTTAACATTGACTCACCACTCAACTCCTGATAGGTTTACAATGACATGGCTCAAATCGGATACGAAAAGGTTGAAAAGGCTTTTACGGATTACAGGGTGAGGAATGGTACTTCCATTTTCTTTAATTTTCAGCCTCTTTTTTCACTTATTTTATTTTTTTCCAAATTAAAATTTTGCTAGAAAATTTATATATTTTTGTTTTTATTACAGTTTCAATACTGACACTACAAGAAAAACGCGATTTTGCATGGGAATGTCGCTATGGAACGTATTTTCGTTGTTAATTTGCAATGGATCGTGCTATGGAATGTCGTTTCATAGCAATGTTGCTACGACATTATCTACGGATTTTATTTCTGGTAGCGAGAATGACACTTGCTAGGAAAAATGCTACCGACTCCATATCCGTTGGTATTATGCCACCGATAGTTCTATGGAACAAAAATTCGTAGCAATTTTCCAACAACATTTGTTACGAAATCACTTTCCGTTGTACTGCTATAATGGAATTAATTATCGTGGTTACTATGCAACGGAGTTTGTGACGGAAACCAACTTCATAGTTGATTTGCTATGTATGTAAGTATTTTGCTAGGGAATTCTGCTATGAAATATGATTCCATTTGCTTGTTTTGCTATGGAACAAAACGCGTAGCTAATTTGTGACGATATTTGTTGAGATGTTGTATTCTTAATTAATTATTTTACTCTATGGATGAATTATTATTATGATCAATGGAATTTGTAACATATGTTTTGAATGAAATGCTTTTGAATTGGTAATATATATAGCATAAACTAATGGCTAAAAATAAAAAATGAATTATAAAAGTAGATATTGCTGGCAAGCGAACTCGAACTTAAGCTTATGCTAGAAAAGGGCGCGGTTAAGCCAGTTGTACTAATCAAGTTGTGCATAATTTCTTGAAAAACATAGTATATAATGACTAATTAACCATATAATTTTATTAGAACTTGGAACCTATTTATTCCAGGGCCCGTACGGCTGCACCTCTTGCATACCCTTAAAACCGAACATGTTAAAGTATATAATCTATGTAGATTATTTTTCTTAATAACGAACTTATTACAAACTTATTTTTAATTCCATTAACTATACTTTATCACAAAAATAACATGGGTTTTACGTATACTTCATCCTACTAAAACAACATAGCAAGCAAAAATGACTAAAATGCCCTTTTAACAGAATGATGTAAACATAAAACCAAAATAAAATTATAGTAGTATACAACTTCATATACAATACAATATGAACACTAATATTCAATGTCCAATCTATTATCAACCATTTATATTTTTAAGAAATATACAAAACCTACGATACTCTACATACCAACGACAAACCATGCAATATCTTTATTGATCTTCATCCTCTTCATGACCTATTGCAAATGCACCTTTAACAGAATGACGTGGATCTTCACATTGGAATGTGATGTTATTCGATGTAAGTCTATGAAGAACATCAACAGCCCGCAACAACTCTTTGGCACTATCAACAACACCCGTGTACTCCACATCATCCGGAACTGCCCAGCCAAAATAGGCATCAAGTAATTGTAAACCTACACATTAAAATATCCATCAATTAATCCAATGTATCCTTTTCAATAAAACAGTAAATATTATACAACACAACACAACTAAATATTGTTAAGAGATGAGCATATGATGTGCACATCTTGTATTTATCTAGAATCCTCTCACGCCAAATATGTATAGTATCTGGTCAATTCTTGTTGTTAGTCTTCCTTATTTATCTCACAATTAGTTGTAGCATCAATATATATACTTCATTGTATATCCTCCTATAAACACATCTTGAATATATATATATAAGATACTCTTTTTGTATTCTCTTCTTTTCTTATATGGTATCAGAGCTCGGCTCGGTACATACCACACCAGAAAACTCACTGCCTCCCTCTCCAAAACAAATGGGAATCAACGACGACACCTTTTCTTCTCTTATCGTCAAAACCACACTCAAAGACATCACTATTGTTAATTTCCCAGCAACCCTAAAACTCACATCCACCAATTACCTTCGATGGAAGACTCAAATTGAAGCTCTACTAAACGACCTTGATCTGTATCGATTTATAGACGACTCACACCTTGCACCTGCACTAACAATCGCCGCTGATAGAACAAGTACACCTCACACAGACTATCCAAAATGGTTCAGGCAAGACTGACTTCTCTTTGGTGCCCTAGTCATAACTCTTTCTCCTGAAATTGTACCACTAGTAACAAATGCATCCTCTTCCCGCGAAGCATGGCAAACCCTAACCAGTACATATGCCTCTCCATCAAGAGGACACATCAAAAAACTCCAACATCGACTGAAACAACTCACTAAAACCTCCAACCAAACCATCACTCAGTATATGCAAAGTGTCAAAACAGTGGTTGACGAGCTTGCTATC